TCTTATTTTACAAAAAAATACATTAAGCTTTTCATTTTATAAGATGATTATTTTTAAATTAAAACAAGAACTTTTGACTTGATAGGGGTAATTTAGTATTTTCCAATTTTCTATTCAAGGGGGTTATGTGCTAATTTCATACCATAAGGAGGTCATGTGCAAAATTTCAAAACCACAAAGGGGTTATGTGCCTAATTTCATACCATAAGGGGGTCATGTGCAAAATGGCAAAACCACAAGGGGGTTAAGTGCCTAAATTCATACCATAAGGGGGTCATGTGCAAAATGCCCAAACCACAAGGGGGTTAAGTGCTATTTACCCTAGTTAATAAGTCTATCTCTACCTAGTAGATCTCACCATTCTACTTGTAAAGTCTCTTATTACAATAAACTTTTACTATTGGATTTTTTTAGGGTAAATTACACCCACATGTCTAAGTATACTAAAATAACTTCAAGGTCCTTATAGTATAGATAATTACACTTATCCTTGAAGTATAGTTAGAAACAAAGAGTTACTGGTGATTTAATAAAAATTGGAGGAGCCACATGTCACCCCCTAACTCTATGTTGTCTCCACCACTAGTTAAAAGTAATAGTCCGTTGGAACTCTATCGGAATAATGTATCCAGTGCATTATGTCATTAGAGTTTCTAACTATGTTTCATGGATGAGTGTAGTTATTGATACCATGAGGGACTTTAAAGTTATTTTAACATCACTCAGGGTGTGAGTGTAATTTACCCTTTTTTTTTTATTTAGAAATGTGTTAATTATAGTCAGATTAGTGGTTGGGTCATAATTTTGTCACGTGTGTGACCAAATTGTACACTAAAAATGCTCTTTAAACACTACTTGAAAAATATATTAATTTATATAAATATATTAAAATATTAGGAGTTCAAAAGGTGGTGGGGGTAATTGTCTCGTGGGCCTATGATAGCTCCCTTTGAATCAGAATTTATTTATTTATTTAATTAAAAAAAAAAATTACGAGCCATTAGATTTTTCCTCTAAATTTGGTGAAAAAGTAGGTAGCTAGTAGCCCTAGGTAGTACCTTAATTAAAAATAAAGCTTAGCATAAATCTATTATCCAACTCTTTAACTTTTCCCATTTACTTTCTTTTTTGTCAAAGCATCCTTCACCTTTGCTTCTTCTCCCTCTTCACCCCCATCCCCAACCATCTCTCTCACACACATCTCTCTCTATCTCTCACACCTACAAAAACACACCAAATCAAAAAAAAATAAAAAAAATCCCCTCTTTCTCCCTTATTTCTATTCTATATCCGGTGAAGACTATATCGGATAAATTTTTACCATTGATTTAAACACACTAATGCAGGTGTCTGGGTGTTCTTATATATATAACTAGTAAAGATATATCAGGTGTATTTGTCCGGTATAGCATAGAATAAACCATCTTTCTCTTTCTGATCCGATTTTAATATCTAGAAATAATTCCAACCCCCCATTTTTTTCAAATCTTACATTTATAATATCATTATTGTTATTTTTTTTAATATTAGGTCAATAGAAAATACTTTCTAAATTTCGCCCATCCAGATCCGATTTTTTTTAATTTTTGAACATATTTTTTTCGTTCCTAACTCAATTTCTCCGAATTTGTTTGGAACACGATTGAAATTAGTATTTCACTTAAAAAAAAGTTGTTGATCTCCGATCTGATCCATTCGATTTCTCCTGATCCGATCCGTTCGATATGAATCTTGAATACAAAACACACACAAAACCAAGGCAATAAATTAAATGGTACTAAATGATTCTCACTTTCTCTATCTTTACTCATCTTGACCGGAACTCCACTTCTCCCCTCTCTCTCTATATAAACCTTTCCATCCCTCTTCTCTCTCCTCATCTCTCTCTCTCTCTCTCTACATATCTACTCTGCAACTCTTCACAATACTACACAACTCTCTCTTCACCAAAAAATGGCAGAAACTCCTCACAAACGCCTTCGAGATCAAGAATCCCATATTGAAGACTACTCATCAAAGCGCCAAAAGCCATACAACACCATACTTCATCTCCTCGACGAAGAAGACCCAAGCCAAGAGCCGAGCCGTGAGCTGAGCCGAGACTTGTCAGCCATATACACAACCCTCCAGCAAGAACTCGTCTCTTCCTGCACCACCACCACCACCACCACCACGCTTGTACATGATGATGACTTCGACTCTTTGCCGCCGTTCGAGGCGTCGGCGGCGGTGGAAGCTGATGGCGGCGCCGGAGCTGATGAAAACGACGGCGTGAAATCTGTCATGAGGCATCTTTTTGAAGCCTCCGATGACGAACTAGGGATTCCAAATACAATGGACGAAAATGTCAATAGTGAAGATAAATTACCCTTTAGTTTACTTAATGACTATAATGGGCTTTGGGAACTTGAGGACGAAGCTGCAAATTACTATACTGTGTTGCAGTCTGAACTTTTTATGTAGCAATTATGCCCCTCTTGG